ATAAAGTTAATGACAGTATTTACAGAATAACCAGTCTATAAGACGACAATCAGTATATATGGCATACTAGTACAAACGGAGAAATGCTAAATGTAGGCAAAAACCAAACTCTCTTCTTTACAAATTTTTAAAGTCCCTTTCTTGGCTTTTCTTGACTGAATTTGCTGGCATTTGTTTGAGTATGGATTCGAGTCTCAGACAGAACACTGCCTATCAATAAGATTCAGTCAACCACATTCAGTTGATGAGCCGTAAGCACGACGAAATCAAGTTTTGAGTTACAATGTTCATTATTGGCAAGCCAGTTATACCAAAAGTAACCTTGAATAAACCAGAAGAAGAAGGAGTAATTTGCAGAGCATTAAAGAGATAATAAGTAAACGAAATGCAGAAGATACTAACATATTACTGAATGGTCCCTAATGCTGAGCTAGATTTTTTGAAATTCTATTGACAAATTATGGTCACTAGAGTGCACCGACTTGGGTATGAGGGTGATCTCTCTTCAGTGACATAAAATAGCAATGTAAGGCATATCCTTAATTCATGAAGATTGGATACCAACATACTGTCCTAATGATGAACAATCTTTAGCTTAAATGAAATTCCTACCCACTTATGATCTTTTAGTACAGCTTATACTAATTCAGGTTCACAACGAAACCTATAGCATAAAAATTTTGGTCAATAATGACAGACATTTTCACAATTTTAGAAGGTACTGAATTTCGAGTCCTGTATACACATCGGACATTTCATCAACCTGAAGCCAATCTGGAAATCTTCGTCACTCAGCCACGATCAACAACAAAATTCGGTAGAATTTTCAATACAAACGTGAAGTTAGTCAGCTCTTCTATACGGTTCAGAAACTTGGCGGGCGGGCGGGCCACAAAGAATATTTCCAACAGCCTGTTGCAGACCTTTGTCAACCAACAACTGTCTTCGTTCTATACTGAAGATCAGATGGCCGGGCCGGAAAGAATCACAAACAAGAGACTATAGGCACAAACAAACAAAACAAGAACCAATCGCCAACCAACAAATATACAGAGAAAGTGGAGATGGATTGGACACTCACTCGCTGAGGAGGCCGCTAGGTGACATCGCGCGCGCGTCAGGCCATTGCTGGAGTGGGACCAGGCCGAAAGAGAAGCGGCGAGTGGGTCATCGGTGCAAGGGTGACATGGAGGAGATCGTGTGAAGAGGATTTGAAAGAGTATGGACTAACATGGATGGAGGTGAAAAGTACAGCAGAAGAAAGACAGAAGTGGCAAGTGCAGACGTGCAGTTGAAGCCCTATGTTCCACTAGAAACCCAAGGGAACAATAATAATAAATAATAATAATACACATTGGAGCATAGAATTACTTAAAGCGTCTCAATGTAGGGGGGAAATACAATTTTTAATGTCATCACAATTAACTCAATGCAAAAGCAGTCTACACAGCAATATACTGACTATACTGGTAAGAAATCAATAACTTTTGATAAGAAATTAGTCTTATACGCTGACTAGTGCTATAAGTGGTAAATTTTGATGAGAATTTTACAGATAGGCATAAAATACTTCAAGATAACCAAAAAAAAACTTCAAACTACTTATGCATTTTATCACATTTAGCTTCCTTCATATTTAAGTAAAAGAAAAGCATTTCATTATTTGTAACAAATAAATCTTAATATATCTTTTCTATGTAACACCCAAAAAACTAATAATATATGTATATGATGAGTTTATCAGTGGTTTTCAATTTCACTTATTTTTCATCCTTTTATTATACACAAGTGTTTTTATCCAATGGCAGATGGTTAGAAAAACAAAATGTCTAGCACTTCACTTACACACACAATTAAAATCTTTAAGTATCTTTAAAATTACACTAGTAATGTCGAGAGGCGAGTTTAGATAAGTGTTTAGTAAAAACACATGACAATTTCAAATACTCATGTATTTGAATATATATATTACTTTTATTCACTTAAGCGCTAGCGTCGCAGTAAACTATTTTCAGAAGACTTACTTATTCACTTATCAATAAATTATGTTCGATATATTTTATGGATGCAGAATGTCTTTACTAAACTAGAAGTGTATATGACTTTAAATGAGAAAAGCACGTCTAAGTGCCGCTTGCAGTGTAATGCTGCAATATTCTGGTAATTTAGCGATATACTCGTGAAATTAAGTAATAAAGTAAAGACCAATTGTAGTGGGAGAAAGTGAAATTTAACAGAATAGGATTTTTCCATTTTGCATTAAATCTAACTTGACTGATAGAATACAGTATGCACCACAGATAGGACAAGAGACACACAAATTACACCAATTAAGGACTAGTGTCCGCGTTGGTGGCATAGATGTTAGGACGCTCGCCGACCATACACATGGTCCGGGGTTCGATCCCCGGCACAGACGCACTCCTTCACCTTGCTAAGCCAGAAATAATACTGGTGAAGAAGAAAGGTTGGGCATGAGGCAAGCAACCCCATCCCGTAAAATAAACACTGCTACAGAAACTTCAAACCACTAGCTTGAAGCCTATGTTCCACTGGGGACGTGAAGGAAAAAAATGACTGGTGTCCATTCAAAAATACCTAACACAGTCCCACGGGAAGTCAATCACGAGCCTGAATAACTCAGTGGTAACTTCTCTGACTGCAGCACCGGGTGACGCGCGTTCAAATAACAGAAGGGACGTCAGTTCCTTCAAGGTTGCAGAAGCCCCTGCTGACTGGCGAGTGCCAACTAGTACTAAAACTAGGTCAGAGGTATCCTGCTGATCGCTTCCAACCATCTAATATCAAATCTACTTTCTTATGTATATGATTTTAGGACGCTTTAGGTTCTATTCGTTTCTACTTTTTCATTTCTTTCAAGTATAATACTCTGATTTTTTTTACTTCGTATCTACTAAATTCTCAGAGTAATTTCCAGTAAATGGAATTCACTATAATAAATTTAATGAACACAGTTCTCTCCTTCAAATGATTCAGAGGATGTGATTTGAAGCTGATTTACGATATGTCACTAAAATGACTTCTAACTGAAAAATGTCCTCAAAGAATAGTCTCCTTTAATTATTAGTAAGTCTGGTTGACCAAAAATGCCTTCCAGAAAAAGGACAAAATGTGGTGATGACCGACAATTATCGTCTTTAGGAGGTAAAATCTTACACTGTCAGAAGTACTTACTCAGTGAATAATAAAATCATTCCAGTGAAGTTATCTAAATGTTTACCGATAATTAAACATTAAACAACAATAATAAACATATGAAAAGTATTAGTAACTCAAAAATCTGAAAAAAATATTCTAATTCGATGACCGATTACTAAAGAGAATTCCACAAGAAATGCAGAAATCAAACCGAAGTTTTTCTCAATTAATAAATATTTATCAAAAATCTTTGTCTTCTGAAAGAGTAAATAAAGCAAACGCAGATGCAAACAAAGCTTTTAACGGAAATTTGACGACCATGTGCGTTTTTTTATCCAAATGAGGGAATATATATTGAGCGGTAGCTTCTTTCTGAATTTTTTGAGTACTATATCTGATACCCCTCTGTGTACTGTAATACAATCACGCCTTCATGTCCTGTAATGTGCTAAACGCTGTGAAGAACCAAATACCAACAGTATTGTATGAAAAAGAACAATTGGAAACTTGAGAAAGTGTATTATTAGCGAAACGGGACTTTTAAAGTACGGGGACAAAAGCCTAAAGTCTCGAGACCGCGCAAAATATACGTAAAACAATCGAAAACCACTTTTTAGTTATACAATGGCATATATAAGGCAAGCATACGTAAAACTAGTTTTTGTAAAAGTATAATGCAAATACATGAACTAATTTTAGGCGCGTACAGCTACAATCAGTAAAGGGGTACAATAAATTTACGTCTAAGTGTGATCTTCAGATGAACATTTAGAACTCATCAATAGGTCACTTTATTTATGTGTATCTATGATGCACCTTCAGAAATTTGATATGAACAATACACTGAACTGTTTAGCAGTGGTATACAACATTAACATGCAGAGATTTCTATTTCAGTCTGTTTTGAATGAACATCACTTCTTCGTCAGTCAAACACTTATACCTATTCCAAAACGCCTCATTTAGCATTTTTGAACATCTATACTTTTGTGTATTTCAGAAAAGTTCACCCAAACCTCAAATGTGTAGTTTCAGTAATTGAATATAATTAGTGATGTGCAACAGTGTAGACTGAAAATTTTACTGCCTTGACAACTGTTATGGAAAATATAAAAAAACTGTCACTAGGCACTATATATGTTCTAAATTTGTTTGGAGACTTCCCCTTTTTGACAGGACTATATTAAAGACAATCTTCTAGACAAGCTTGTTTGATACTCTAGTACTGAAGAAATGAAAGTCGTAATGGATTAAAGAATTCTGACTGGTCTCTGTTTGAGTAACCGCCTGAGTCTCAGATGGAAGAAGGTAAACGCAAGCTTTACAAGTACATGACACATACAGACATTTTCTAATGACAACTCAGCGATACCTAAATAAACACTTTTATCAGTATTTTGAATGCATTTAAGTAATTCAAATGCCTGAATGTGAAATACATTCCTCCAAAGAATGAACGAGATTGTTGCATGGAGAAAATGTTGAACACTTTTGTGAACTCAGAAATTACTACCCAAAGCGTGCTGTATAATGAAAATGTTGAATCGTGCGCTGATATTCCAAGATACTAATCAGAGATGCATAAATATGCTAGTACTTGTTTTCGAAGTACATGATTCAACAGAAGCACGGCTTAATTTCGGTTTCACTCAAACTAGTATATGAATTTGAATTACTGTCTTTGTCTAACAGAATGTACCTATGACACAATAAGCACTGGCAATCAGATATCAACACACATGAAATAAACACTTTAGACTGTAGTTCAGACAGCCAACATTTTAATAGAGTTATAAATGATTACTAATGACTATTGAAAAAAAATGCAAAGTAAAGATTACCTTAGAAAACTGAATTGCTTATCTCACCCGAATTGACAATATATAAGAAGTGAAATCCTGTTTTATATTTATATACCTACAAAAAAATCCACCTGTTTATGTATCTTCCAATCAGGAATTAGATCACTAATACAAGTCGGCTTCATTGGATAACTAACTCTCTGTTTTGGAAAAAACATGGGTAGTGATAACATGTCACTAAATAATGGGGGAAGCAACTATGATTCAATGTTGTATTTTTATTAACTTGTATCTATGAATGCTTTTCTTCAAAAATGCTTGTTTTTGAATTAATAAGATTTTAAAGCTAAAATAATTTGTTTCTACAGAGAGAACAAAATAGATAAAAGACGATAACGAAGGTATTTGAATTCACTGTGAATTACTGTGTACCAACTCAACTGTGGTGCATTTTTTTATCAAGTCATAGCTCTTTCAGCACGTTATCCAAGAAGTCACATCATACGTTGACAGTATTTTTGATTCTTTAAAGTATTTCTATATTATTGGTAGACAGCATGAGTGGGATTTGTGTTCATTATAAATCGCCAGCACGAAAGTGCGACTTTCGTCAGAGATGTATTTATCAGAAGCAATGAGGAGCGGGAATTTTATCACTGGTATTGCTTTTTTTATTCCTCAGCTATCCCAATGGAACATAGGGCTCCAAGCTAAAGACTTGAAGTTTCGGTAGCAGGGGTATTTGTCTTTATGGGGTGGGGTTGCTCGTCTTATGCCCAGCCTTCCTTCTTTACCAGTCTTACTACTGGCTTAGCGAGGTTCGAGGGATGCGTCGGCAGGGGGTGAACCCAGGAACACCTGCTTGATCGGCGAGCACTCTACCACTGTGCCACTGGTATTGCTTACTTGCCAAGAAACAAGTTACCCATCAAACAATGTTTCGAAAGTTATTAAGTGATTCGTTCACATAAATTTGAAATTCAGCGGGTCCGAATTCCGATAAAAGCGACAACATATAATTTACGTGTAGGCATGACTGAAGTCTTTATGTAGAAACCAGTGATGTTTTCTAACAATTTTCTTCTCGAAGTATATTTTCCATCCTCCGAGTTGTGATGTTTATTTGCGGACATTTCATCACTAGGCTTAATGACATCTTCAGCTTTCACTTCATCTGATTCTAAGGTACAAATTTCTATTGGTTAATGATAATGATAATTTGCTTTATTCCAAAATCAGTACTAATGATACAGCAAGAAATTTTCAGCATTCAGTACAATATTGCATCTAATTTACTGAAAAACGACTAAAAAGTATAAAAATAAACATTACATAATAATAATAAAATGTTATTACAGCAGCTACATAGCAGATTACTGTATGCAGTACGGAGAAAAATATGCATAATGTACAAAATTGTAGTAATAATAGTAATACCAACTAAAATAAAATAGCAAAGTTATAATTAAACGATAGAAAGTGTGACACCATAAAATACAGAAAGATGAACGATGAAAGGGTCGATTCACTGTGCTAATTACATAGTAAATTATTTGTTTCACGTCTAACAGAGTCTTCGTCACATAAAGTACGGGCTAAATAGGGTATTGTAGAATTTCTATACTTAGTGGTACGAGCATATAACTTTTTATATTGACTTCTCGTCCTACCTGATGAGATACAAGGGGACAGGTGTGAATAAAGGGGGTGCAGAGGGTCTGACATTATAGCCTTTGCCCATTTCGTACAGGAATTTATATGCCTCTCGACTATAGTATTAGCGAGCTCATGCAGTGGCAGACCACAAGCTCTACTCACAGCATTTAATACTCTTCGTAATATGATATAATCTTTTTTGAGAAGCCCAGGAAAGATTAATGGAGAGCAATAGAGAGTACAATAGGTAAAATACAGGAGTTTAAAAATTGCAAAACTAAAGGTTGGTTGATACCTGATTGTCTTAACTTTTTAATGTAGAAGGTAAGACGAAACATTTTCTTAGAGATAGATAAGATATGGGATGACCATGAAAGGTCAGAGGAAAAACTAATCCAAGGTATTTAATGCTTGATTTGGTTTCAATTTCCGTGCCATCTATGCTACAGGGATCATGCGAGTTAACTAGTTCAAGTAAGTCACGTCGATGCTTGAAAGTAAAGTCAAGCCTGACATTTGGAAGGATTTAATATAAGACCATTTGACTTGGACCAGTTGTTGATGTCCAACAGAAAGCTATTAAGTTTGGAGCTGTCAGACTCGGAAGTGATACAGTCAGATCATCTGCATATTTGACAAAGTTAGTTTCGTTTGAATGAGGCAGGTCATGTAGGAAGAAAGAAAAAAGAAAAGGAGAGAGGACAGCACCTTGTGGAACACCGGATTTTGTAAGCGAGGTAGAAGAAGATTTGCCGTTATATACAGTATACTGCATTCTATCAGAAAAATAGGAATGCAACCAACTCTTAGCCCAGGATCCTGTTTGTGTCAACGATAGCTTATTTAACAAAAGGCCCCTAGGTACAGAGTCAAAAGCAGATGTGTAGTCTAAGAAAGCACTACGAACATATTTAGCACCTTTGTCTAAACAAGAGACAACATTGTGATATAAGACAACCGCAGCATCCAAGGTACTTCTACCATGTTTGTATGCAAATTGTTTAGGATCATTAAAAGGTTTCAAAGCGGGTTCAAGACGAAGTAAAAGTAATTTTTCCATCAATTTTAAAAAGGGGGAAGTAATTGCAATAGGCCGAAATTTAATATCAGAACCAGAAGATGGTTTTGGTATAGGGATAATTTTAATGTTTTTCCATGCAAAAGGTAGAACGTTACCGGAAAAAGAGCATTAAAAATGTTAGTAAGAGGATAACACAAAATATCAGCACAATTCCTGAGGACAATGGCAGGTATGCCGTCAGGACCAAGGCTTTGAGAAGGCTTAAGAGACCGGAGACATTTAAGCACATCAAGGGTATTAAAACCACTAAAGTTATTGTCAATATGATTTGTATCATTTGGAAGGGTATCAACAGAAGAGCGTATGAAAGATTTATTAAGAGTGTCAACATTAAGAGATGGAACAGAAATACATCGCTTACCGTTAGTAATTTCTTTGAAAAGTTTCCATAAATTAGAAGGGGTTTTACATGACAAAAATCTTTGATTATATAAAACATTTAGTCTTTTTATTTCCAGTTTTATCAGATGTTTAACTTTTTTACACCAGGCTTATCATTAGTTTTGAACAACAGTTCTTTATTTCTACGTAGCTTTTTGAGATATGGCGAAGATAAGCGATCAAATCGAATGAATAATGTTTCTTTAGGACAACATATTTCGAAACAGAATTTAAGATAATCGGTAGTGTTTGTGATTGTTTCATCTAATGTTTGTTCTGTAAATAAGTCCCAGTTAGTGTCTTTCAACATGCATCTGAGCTTGTCTAGGTTGTCTTTTGAGTAGCATCTCCGTTGAACTTTACTGTAGAGGTGAGAGAGGACACCTTTGTGTGATTTGGAATATATTTTAGGCAGTACACGTATGATGCAGTGGTCAGAATTAAGTAGAGGAGCACGTTTGCGAGCTTCATATATACCAACATCATTGATGAATACTAGATCCAGTTTTTTACCAAGACGGGTGGCAAAGTTAACAATATTGTCATGACCAAGTGATATAAGGAAGGAGTGATCGCATGAATTAAAATCGCCAGTTACTATTGATAAAGAGTTCTCGAAGCAAGCTGCAGCAAAAGCGGTGAATTCATCGGCGAACATAGATAAATCCAATATGGTACAGCCAGGAGAGACATAAACATTAGAAATATAAATGAATTTGTATTTTGAAAAGTGTTTCGGGCGACATCTCACAGTGATGCAATCAATGAAGTCATTCGAGAATTTGAAACAAACTTTGTTAGAAATGGACCATTTTGAGTGAATAAAAGTTGCAACACCTCCACCACATTTTTCTTGGAACAAACACGGTCTTGTCGAAACATTGAAATTGTTTAGAGACACAATATTGTCATCGTATGAGTCATGGAGCCAGGTTTCTTGTAGAGTGACAATACCAGTATTGTGGTAGGTACTAGAAGACAACAGAGACTGAAAATCCAGAATTTTGTTAGGCAGGGACCGGCAGTTGGTACTAATGATAACTGGAACAGTGGTGTGATGTATGGGTGTAGATTTTAAGGCACGCTGCCAACCTCCATGGTGCTTTTTCTTGAGTTTATTGCAAATATGAAAGTTTTTGGGTTTAAAACGTTTTATAAAATCCCGGGAGTGAATAATACGATTAGAATGCATAATGTGATATGTAAATACCAATAAAATACGAGTAAATAGATGCAAAATGTACATGGAATATGGTAGCCCAAAATGTTCAAACAGGCCGCCAAGGTCAATCATAGTTTTGGTTCCTATACCCATCAATATGCAGGAATATAAAGTGTTGAAGTCCCATCGTGTAAACAATTCTTACTTTATTATCGGCAGATACTTGAGAAACTAACTTAGGCGAAGTTTTTAAAATACAATAAAACACTACTACTGCCATGAAGTTCACTTATTTATGTTACCCTAAACCTATGAAACTTGGTTTTCTTATGATAAGCTGAACACGAATTTCGGCATACAAAGAAAATATGTAACTTCAACCAACAGACTAATAATTTAACATCTCGCTGCAAGAAATGATTTTAGACTATATTTCCACAGATAATGGGAGCAATCAAATACATGAAACCACCACATACATCTCGGTGAACATTAACACTTATTTGTGTGATATTGTGGTAAAAATATCTCATACCTAGTTAGTGAAGAAACTGGTAGACTTACGGACGAAATTTAACAAAATGGCTGAAAAATCAGCAGCGATAGGAATTCAAGAAAATATAAAGTAGAGGTAAATAAAACAACTAACCATCAACAAAAGGCATCAATCAACGGAAGAATTTTGAGAGGGGTCACTTCCTCCCCCTATTTGGTTAGACGGCATCATGTCAGCCACAGGTGATACAGATGAGGATGTGAAAACCAGAGTCAAAAAGGCAAATCACACCTTCACCCTGAAATCAGTCTGGAAATCCTTCGCCCTCAACTCAGCATAAAATAACAAGATTCGGGCTCACGAAACCAATATTGACCCAGTCACTCAGTTCTTCTATATGGTTGAGGAATTTGGCGTGTGCGTTTCGAAACGCCTTTCCAACAGGATACTGCAGACTTTCAACAACAGCTGACTTCTCTGGCTGGATACCGAATATGAGATAGCCTATCATAAACAATTAGCAACAAGAAGTTCCGGAAGTGAACTAACCAAGAATCTACCGCTCAGCAAACATACAGAATGAAACAGAGATGAATCGAATGCACACTGAGGAGACCGTGGAAGGATATCGGGCGCCTGGATAACCCTTCCATGGAAAGCGAATGGGAAACGACGAGTCAGACGTGGCTCTGAGGGTGACATGGAGGAGATCGTGTGGAGAGATGAGACATTATAGGCAATCGTGGGGTCAGACCAAGAGGACCAAAGAGAATCGGAATAGGTGGAGATGTGTTGGTTGAGCCCTATATTCCACTTGGAACCCAAGTGAATTATGATAATCACTATTATTAATGAAGATTACTGCAGTTTTACTGCTGTCCAAGCCTGAACTTTCATTTGTTAAGATTTTTGCACTAATTTATTTTATTTTTTACAGCTTGATGCCATACCGTATTTTATGGTACAGTTATGGAATTTTCAGCATGTGATATCAGTAGCCCAAATTTTGCAGGACGACCATAGATATCGGGTGTGCGTCGGCAGGGGATCGAACCCCGGATCATGTGCATGGTCGGCGACAGTCCTAACCACTGTGTCACCGACACGTGTTATCATAGATATCTATGTTTATATTGAAATTTTATTAAGAATAATTGCTGAATGTGACTAAATGGGTAATTTCACCGCTAGCTGACCAACAAAAAAGTATCAGACATTTTTTCATTTGAATCTGAGTCACCTTTTCTTCTGTATCAAAGTTAATCCATTAGCAGGCACTTTTCATTTTTGCAGTCAGTTTCTGATATATCTATATTACTTTACTTGATTTATTGGAGGAGTTATTGTATTTTAAATCATGATTTAGTAGAAATCACTTTTTCTATTATTCATTCATGCAAACATTTGACTTTTTCAGTCTTCGTAAGTTATTTTCTGTCTTCATGAATTGTACGAACCAAAATGTTGCTCATGCAGCAAGGGAATAACAGCGTCTTCAGATAATGTAGGAGATCAGTCCCTCTACAGATATGAAAGATGATGAAATTTAAAAATTGAACACTGGATCAACACAGAACTACCAAAGTCATTCTTTTTCTCTTATAAATTCACATCCCGTTTTCTCTAGCAAGTAAAAATTCAGACGTCAACGAATTTATAAGGAAAACAGGAGCAATCTTATTACAGCTGGTGAATTCGAGGCTTTCGTGGACTTTGAAGGTATTCTAAAAAGTTGACTTCACTGCAGCTTTGCCACAAACCTAATATACATACATATAATTCTAATGTAATAATTTTCAGCGTTCATTAGTAACCACAAGCTACATTCAGTATAGGATTATTCAGCATTACATCAAGCTTCTGACCATTTCAGCATAAGTTCTAGATGGTGCAACTGATAAAACTCACCGTTCTTTTCTTTGTTCTGTAGCATGATCACCATTAAAAGTTACACCCACAAACATTCTCCTATGATAACATTTCATGTAAAATAAATCACTATTTTTCGTTTTAAAGCATCAGTTATATTTCACTGTTTACAGCTATTTCGTGACTAAAGTGAATGACTTGTTCACAAACAGTAAGCAGGTATTGTAATGGTGGTCAGCATTAGAATCCACTGAACTTGTAATGAAAGTAAAGTGGTTACTCAGCACTCAGTGAAAACGGAATAATTGTTTCGAATATCCCTCCCTAACTATCTATTTACGATATTGCTACTTACCTAGACATTCGAATTAGCTTTGTAAATATAATCCGCTTTTCTTCTAGATCAAGCATCATTGTTCTCTTATTTGCATAACATCTGTTGACTTAATGCTTATTAGTTGTTCTGCTTCATTTCTAATCTGATGTGTCTCTTTATGGTTGTGTGATGATAATGGTAGTGTGTTGTTTTATGATTGAGATTTTGTTTTAGCGAATTCAAGATCATCCTGGCCTAGGACTACCTGCAATAAGTGTTTGAGGCATGATTCTCGCTGGAGTAAAGATCAAACCTATCGTGTGGTGAGTAAACAGTTGGGTAAAAATGGTTGATAAACACCTCCAGAACTGCAAAAAAAGACATCTGATTTGAGCACGGCATTCCTTTAGTCCTGTAATATAAAATCAACCAAGTAACGAAATTCAAGTATTGATTGGTCGCCTCCGTTTTACCTGTGAAAGTATACTGAGACGTATGTGCATCAAGTGTGATTTGCGACAGGTTATACCCTCTTCTTCTAGCTCACCAAGATTCAATCCCACCCTGTCGGGAATATTCTGCCTGATTCTCAGGTACCTGTTATGGTTGATTTCAGCTGAATAACTCTTCTGTGTAGTACTTCTTTTGTATCTGAGAAATAATTTTGTTTACGTATCTGCTTAATGGGATTGTTGGGGTAATTTTTCGTTTTGATACGTTAATATTGTTGAATAGGTCTAGAGATTTCATCGCAAACAACTTTCTTCCTGTTATCGTTGGGGGTAATTTGGTATCGTGAGTTACTCAAGGAGGTTTTTGTTAACTATGCAGTTGAACGTGAAGTTTCGTTTCCCGAGTTCAGACTACAACACATCTGTTTTGGTCACAACACTTTTTTTTTTTTTTTTTTTATTTTTTCTCCGAGGCATATTGTTTTTGGGGTCCAACTTCTCGTGAAGCGCGGAAACCCGCGGCACCCCACTATAGTTGATGAATCTTGATAACATACCTTCACTTGTTCTCAGTAGTACACATGCATTTGAGCGTTGTGATCTTCCCTATTGATGACATCCTCATTATTCTTCGTCTATTATAATTTCATTGGATTTAAGAGTTGAATAGGGTCTCACTGGCTGAATGGTATATGAGCTTGCCTTTTAACCGAAAGGTTCTCGTTTCAAAACCCACAGGGTGCGTACTTTCGATGATTCCCAAACTAGAATGAAACAGCTGTCCAGTACTCCGGTTCTGGTTTTCAATGGTTCTCTAACTGATATCAATCCGTGAGCAAACTCGTATAATATTTTCATTGGATTTCTCTTCACCACATCTGCGTTTGTTTTCCTGAAGTGTGTAGCAACTTGAAGCGTTGCAGTTTTGGTGCAAAGTTCTACACAGAAAATTCAGTTCTGAGTTTTCACTGGTGACAAAAAGTACCTTGAAATAAATCAACATTAAGATCGCCTATTAAACTACTGAAACATTACCTTAGATCAGAAATATATGATTATGTGTGAATTAGTCTAAAATAAAGCTATTAGGGGCAATATTAGGGGAAATTCGACCATTTAATACGCTACATTATTCAACTTTGATACTACCATAGATAAATTATCTTTTATTTTTTTAATAATAGTACACACTCATACTAATTGCTATTTTATCAATATATTTTGTATGCGCAAAAAGTTAAGTACATTTTATATTTAGTAGATGAAATAATAATAACAAAATATAATTATAATCTTTCATAAAATTCAATACCATTAAGATATACATCAGGTGAAAGTCACTTCACTAAAAGAGTTCCAGATTATAATAACCTGTCGGAAGGATGATAAAACGAATACCTCTCAGCAGAGAGTATTTCTAATCTACTACAATTCAGTTATGAAACCGACTTGAAAAAGATGTGAATAGAGCAATAAAACAGACACTGATAATTTCTAACGTTCACCTTATCTAATTTAATTACACTGACAACTTAAATATAGAATCACTTTTAGTGCCTACTTTGGCGATGCCATGACTCGAGAGTATTTTTGGGTATGTTAACGTGAGAAACGCTTTATAAACAGTGTGATATCCATCATGCAATTTACAAATGACTAAGTTATAGTTTATGAAAGTCTTTCAAGCGATAGTCACAGTTGGAATCTTTCAACTTGGAATTCTTGAACGCATTGTGACATATTTCAACGACTATTTAATGTTTAATCAATGGAATCCCATTCGAAGTGCTAATAATATTGGCGGTTTCGTTCCTGCATAAAACGTTTCAGACACTTGAACTGCAGATGATGATGATAGTGCTCACTGTTCAGTCAACGAACTCTACAATGAAAGACAACTGTGATCATAGCCTCTGAATAAAACTGAACACAAGTTTTCAAAACTTTCTGTTCGTACTAAGTTTCCAGCTACGTAAGTAGCTTACTAAATACACATTCTTGACCGACGTGGACATGAAGGGAAACTAAACACCCTGAAAACTAATAGGGTTTGAAGACAAATATTTTGAAGTTCTTTAAGGGTCTCCAATAAGTAGGACCGCATATTCTTTAGCTTTGATGTTTGCCCCAACAAGTAAATACTCTGAGACTTAAGACGAATAGATATCAAATTTAAATTGTGCAGATTTAAAATCGATTACAAACCTTAACAAGTATTATATTTAAGGATTATGACACTATGAAAGCCTTAAAATCCCTCTCTACAAGAGTACTGTAAACTGACTGCAACGGATGTTTATTGAGGTGTAGTGTTTATGTCATACATATAATTTCTCAGACTTCCTAGTCGAATTTCTGTTTGTATCACTTAAACCCGCAAGTGTGTGTCTTCTCTTCATCAGGTGATCTGGGATGATCTTAATTTGAGATAACAAGTAAGAACATGTTGGATTTTGTAATCACTAATATCTGATATATGCCCAAACCAAGTTCATTTTGTAACAGTTTGAAAAAATTTGATATGATGTATGATATTCATTATAATAAAGGCTTTTTATACTTCACAATGAATGATTAACAAAACGATATTGTTTGTACTGACGTTTCTCTATTTAATGCGGCTAATACCTTTATCAAAGTGTTACTAAACCAGAATTTACAAAATCCACTCAGCTCATATATAACAACTTAATCATCCTTCCTCAGCATGAGGTCAGTTTTGCGTTGTCAAGTTGGCCAACAGGTAAAGATAACAAAACCAGGCGTAGATTGTTGGATTTGATCAATGTGTAAAATTATAAAAGTAGTGTGTGTTTACATAGTGAACTTGCTTATCACACTCGTGTTGATTTTATCATTTGACGAGGGAGGGGTGTTGTAACCAGATCAAATTCTGTTTTAGTACATCATTTGCACTCAGATAATTTTGATTCCACCTGTTTTGTAGTGCTTCTGATGTTAGGCGTTCTTTGTAATTTCTGAAATAATAATGAATTAATAATAAGAAATTCACTATTATCACTCTCATATGTACCTTTTGTACATTTTTACACCCGCTTCACACTTGTCAAATTAAAAATAATAATAATAATTTAATTTATTCCAAAGCAGTACTTGTGATACAGAATGGAATTCTCAGCATTTTACTACAGTATTGCATCTAAATAGTACATTATCAATAAAGAAAATTCTGCATAGATTAAGGAAATCTCAGTTCATTATGATAACAACATATTGGCATGTCGGTAGCAAAGCCAAAAATTGAACAGTGTCTGAAGGTGTTAGAAAAGTAGATGGTAGCATATTTACTGGCGTAAGCAGAAGAAAGAAACAAAGCTGCACATAACAGAAAAAAGAGAGAGGAAAGGAAAAGAAAGAAAGAAAACGTTGTACCTTTGAATGATATGAGTTGGAAAGACGAGGTCCAGTTGTTGTACTGACTATTTAATAAGTTATAAGTTTCACGCCTAATGCTTTCTTTATCGCACAGAACACGAGCTAAGTAGGATATGGTTGAGTTTTTGTACTTATTAGTGAGAGCGTATAGTTTCCTATATAGGCTTCTGGTTCTGCCTGATGAGATACAAGGGAAGAGTTGTGAATGAAGATGGTGATGTGAGTTAGATAGAATGGATTTTGCCCATTTTTCACATGAGTCCAAGTGCCTGTCAACCAGAATATTAACAAGCTGGTTAAGTGGCACGTTGCTTACCCTGCTGACAACCTTCAACATCCTGCGTAATAAGGTATAGTCTTTCTTCAGTAGCCAGCCCAGGAAAAACTAAGGGGGAACAATAGAGAATAATAGGCAGGATGCAAGAGTTAACGAATTGTAGGAGTAAGGGTTGGGTTATTCCAGAATATCTTAACTTCTTGATGTAGAAGGTAAGACAGAATATTTTCTTAGAAATCATCAATATATGAGACACTCAACTACCTTTATTCTCACTCAATAGCAATTTCAACCTTATCAAATCTCTAACTTTGTGCCATTGAGTACCACGTAATTTACAACTTTTAATTTTCATTTCTAAAGCCACTTCTGAGTAATTATATTAATTATGTTACCCTCTGTTACTTAATAAAAGACTACCATACATTTTTCGTCAATTTAAACACGACTGCACAGCCACCTCTGAAAATCATTTCGTCGATAAAGAAACTTTTTTCCGCTGAAATTGTCTTTGATTTCATTATGTGATTGTATACAATAAATCATACTTGAAACGTTATCAGAGGATATGCATTTCATGCTGCATACCAGGCCCTGTATTTTAAAACTGAACATATTTAGTG